ACCCATGACAAGCAGGTTCATGTTCATCGCACCCCGAATTGAGCTGTGAAATATACGCATGCCACCTACTATGTGAGATATGGTGGAGAGATGAGCAAATGGCGAACTCGACTGTGTCATTAATTCTATTTTGTTGTATTTTTACTGTTGAGGTAATGCGTTGTGTACTTTTTGTGTGTTTTCATGTGTGTGTACTACTGGCGCGTCGCATAATGTTTATGCATTCTCATGTGTATTCACGTGCCACGCACTGCCTGTGTGTTTTGGTTGAGGCTTCAGGAACCTGAGCTACTACGGGTTGTCTGGAAGCTTGCCCCAACGCATCGGCAACCTCACTAGGCTTCAGTCCTTTTGCGTTCTGCTCTCGGGTGCTCGGCGCGCGTGCCTCGGTTCACTCTCTGAGTCGACTAAATAATCAAGCTCACCAGGCTTCAGCCCTTGTGCGTTTCGCTTGCCATAAATGCTTTCAAGTGCTCAACGCTCGTGTCTCGGTCCACAAGAACTGAGTTGGTCATGCTGGGGCCAGTGATCCAGGGGTCCCCACATTCTGCTTTGCAGTCCATCGAGTTGACTTTTGAGTCGACTCAGAAGTCAACTTGATCCAGGGGTCTCCACATTTTGCTTTGCAGTCCATCGCATATGTTTCGTTTAGGAGTAAATGGCAACCCGAAACGAGTTCAGTCTACTCGTGCAAAAATGGTACACCGATGGGGTGTCTGAAACCGCGAGCATGCCACGTGATTGAAGAAGTGTTTTGAGACGTCTCAAAACACCGATGGGGTGTCTGAAACCGCGAGCATGCCTTGGTGTGCCCAGATGAATTTCTGTGGCCGTAGCATGTCACCGTGGTGCGCGATCCTAGAAAACGATCCGAACCAAGCTGAATGGCTGGGTTCTGGGCTGATGCATGTGGTGTTCTCCGTTTCTCTCTCAATCCTTCATCAGGAATTAGTGTGTGTGTGTGTGTGTGTGTGTGTGTGTGTGTGTGTGCGTGCGCGCTTGTGTGTGTGTGTGCGCTCGCATATGTGCATGTGCCGGTGTGATTCACACCGTGTGAACGTTTATGGAACGTGTTTCCATGCCTCTTTCATGCAGCCATCTCTCTTCACAGTCTATCTTTGGAAGCATACCATCGAGTATCGGACAATTGACCAACTTACACGAGCTGTACGTTCCTGTAGTTATACATGGGCATCAGGGCTGTCGCTTTCACTGGGCCTAGAACTTACCAGGCTGAGGTGGGCTAAATTCAGTGATAAATATCCAGGTTGAGCTGAATTTCAACACTTCGACATATGCACTCCAATTGCACTCCAATCATCGTGATTTTCTCACGCACTCTCCTCCACTCCTCATGTGCACTTGGCAGCAATCTTCCCGACACGGTGACATGCCCCCAAGCAGGGGTGTGCGTGGTGGACCAGCGGAGAGCCCCCGCCTTCTGCTCTTTCTGCTCCTCCTGCTCCCCGCCAGGCCTCTGCTCCTCCTGCAAGCGACCAGGTGGGTGGGTGTGGGGACATGGAGAAAGGAACTGGAGAGGGAGATACTGGGGCAGCAAAAGGGGAGCAGAGGGAAAAAACGGGGATAGGCAGTAACTAGGGAGATGCAAAGCGGGGTGTGACACACTGAGCAAACGAGGTTTGCCATGTCCTGGAAGGCAACTGAGGTTTACCATCTCTCAACTGCTTCTCTCTGTCTTTACCACTTGCCTTCATCATATTATCACTGCCGTCTGTAACATTATGAAGTTCGTTCGTCTTCCTTGTTCCTCCTCATTCGTTCCTCACACTCACCTGCCATGGCCAGGGCAAACCAACGCCTCTGGGAACCAGGTGACTTCCAGGTCGACTCAAAAGTCATTTCCTTGTTCCTCCTCACCCATTCCTCTACCTACCGCCATTACCAGCGCAAACAAACGCCACTGGTAACTCCACCACCACCACCGCAAGTCCGGCCGCCCCCACAAGCCCCTCCAATTCCCCCTCGGATTCGGGTTCAGGCGGCTTGTCTGCTGGGGCCATTGCTGGCATTGCTGTCGCCCTGCTGTTGCTTCTGGTAGCCGCTGGTGGTGGTGCGGCCTGTTATGTGATGCTATCATTTGCATTCACGTCTGTCTGCCTCCCATCATATGTTTGTGCGTTGCATGCGTGGTGTGTGCAAGAATCTGTGTTTGGTGTGGTTTGGATTTTCTGAGTGTGTATGTGAATGTTATTTGGCTTGGGCAGATATCTGAAGTGACTTCTCTGCTCAAGAGCTTTCCGACGAACCAAGAATCATCGCGATCGAAGCAAGAACAAGAAAGATATGATCGTTCGAAGTTTTTGATTGTGACGCAGCGACTATGGAAATTCGCGGGTTGACTCAATATGGGGTACAGACTTTTGGGGGTTGGGAAATTCGTCACCATCACTGTAGATGATGCCAAGTGGTTGGGAGAAGTCAAACCAGGTTGGCAAGTGTGGCCAAGTTGGGTGAGGTGGATGGCATGGGTTGGGAAAGTGACAAATGTCAAAGTTGGGGTGGCTATAGAAAGAGGAATTGTGTGGTATGGGGTTTCCTTGGTTGGGGACTCCCTAAGGACCTTCCCTCTCGTGCTTTTCATCCCCTTCTACCTGGTTCTTGTGAGGTTGCATCTCTTATGTGCTGCATCCTGCCTGCTGGTTACATTCAGAAGAAACTTACTTTCCTTCCAGTAATCTAAATCTATGTAGGTGTTTGTCCTTTTGAACCCGCCACCTTTTTCATTGTGCCTTGTTCCTTGTTCCCTTTTCCTTGGTTGATGAATCATCGCAGGGGGGCTGTCAGGGGAGGTATGCCAGGAGTACACACTCGACGAGGTGTGCAGGGTGACTGGCAACTGGAGCGAGGAGAATCGGCTGGGTTCGGGGGGCTTTGGGGACGTGTACCGGGGTGTGTCTCCCGACGATGGCACCACTGCATGGGCTGCGAAGCGCGCTAAATTCATCACCAACGATTTCCACAATGAGGTGATTGACTGACCGTGGCTGCACCGCCTGCTCTGTGCTTTCATTTGCTTTCTCTAAGTTACTTTTGCGTCGACTCAAAAGGCACCACTGCGTGGACTGTGAAGCGCGCTAAAGTCATCACCAACGACTTCCACAACGAGGTGTGTGTGATGTGACCATGGCATGGCTGCACCGCACTGCACTGCACTGCACCGCCCGCTCTCGCTTTGCACCACTGCATGGGCTGTGAAGCGCGCTAAAGTCATCACCAACGACTTCCACAGCGAGATGACTGGCCATGGCATAAGAAGATAGTTTCGACCCAGATCCAGCAGAGCTAACTCGTTCTAAACTCTTCTAGGCTGAGCTTAGGCTAGTAGGGATTGAATAGGTAAGAAAATTGCCATTCAAACCTGAGCGTGGTGACTGACCATGGCATGGATGCACCGCCCGCCTCATGCTTCCATCGCTCTCTCTTTCTTCGCTATAGCTGGATGTAATGATGCCAAGTTCGAGGGTTTGAATTTAGAAGCTCCGCGTTTGTATTGAATCGTTGTTGGTCCGCTGCTCATGGATGTGCAGAGCGGAAGCAAGCACCAAGCAAGCCTAATCGGAAAATATTTCAGGGGTTTCTTATTCGGTTCTCTCCCATTGAACCACCCTCTCTTTCCGCACAGGTGACCCAGATGGCCAGCAAGCACCATCCCAACCTGGTGCGGCTGTTGGGTTACTCCATGGGGGGCGATGTGCGGACGAGCATTGAACAGATTCTCATCTACGAGTTTGTGTCCCACGGAGACTTGCACAAATGGGTTGGGAAAGGTGGGTGTGAGGTTCCTGTCGTAAGCTTCTTAAATAATATTCAGAAGCTTAATTTACATACTACTTTGTGGGCAAACATTTATTCCCCACGAGACCTATATTGGCACCCGTATTGTAATTTCCAGCGTGCCCTTCCATATGTCTTCTTCCTCACTGACTTGCATTTTGTTTATGCCACCAGAAGCGCCAACGCCCCTCACGCTGCAGCAGTAGCTGAACATCCTCATTGGCACGGCGCACGGCTTTGAGTACCTGCACAGTTTTGGCATCGTGCATCGCGACATCAAGCCCGCCAACATCCTGCTGGATGGCAACATGCAGGTGCGTGTTTGAATGTGTAGGTGTGGATGTGAGTGTGTGGGGTGGTGGTGGGGGGCGCGTGGCATACGTGCATGGCTTTGGCATCGTGCATCGCGACATCAAGCCCGCCAACATTCTCCGCCTTACGCACAGTTTCTCCTGCCTCTCTCTCCTCCCGGCAGCCAAAGATTGCTGACTTTGGGCTCGTGCGGCTGGGAGAGGGGAGCACGGTGGGCGCAACGCAGGTGATGGGCACTCCGGGGTTTGTGGACCCGTCTTACTGCAAGTCACAGATGGTCATGACCAGCACCGATGTGTACAGGTACGTACGACTCGGTTTTGAGATGTCTCAGTAAAGGTACTACTCATTCGGCTCAATATGTTTGTTTCTACTAATAAAAATCATTGGAAATATTTTTTCCCAATTGTTTACTTTCATGTTATGTTGTGGCGACTAAGTGTTGATAGTTCTATACTTCGAATTCTTTATTCATTCTTCTCTACTTTGTGATGATCCTCTACATGTACTGCAGCTTTGGCATCGTAATGCTTGTGGTGCTGACGGGACGCAGTGTCAACTTTGAAGTGGATGGGAATACATGTAACCCTCTGGAGTGGGTAAGATGTGGAACCATCTATGCAGGTAAGAAACGCATGGGTGGGCATCCAAACGTGCGTGACTTTGCATGGAATGCATTCCATCTATGTACGTGAAACTGCTTTGGAGGCGACTCAAAAGTGTGCATCTCAGCTACCTACTTAAAAGTTGCTTGGGTTTCCCCAATGTTGTGCTTCTGCAAGCTCCTCCTGTCACCCTCAGTCGCCTTTTCCTTTACTTTGTCCCGCCTGAGGCGCGGGTCCCTCAGGCTTGGGTAACGACGGCTGGCTCGCTCGCCTGAGGGACCCGCGCGCATGGAGGCCCCTGTCCCTGACAATGCCCTCCTGCGCGTTGCCCACATGGCCCTCGCCTCCACTCTCACATCCCGCCCCCTCCCCCTACCAGGTGGCCTCGCACATCGCAGGCAAAGAAGGAGCTTCCTTCATGAGGGGCCTGCCCTATGCATGGAGGCCGACGCTCCTGACGGTGCCATCCTGCGTGTCTCCCTCCTGGCCCTCACCTGCACTGCCAGGCTCACGGCTTTGAGTCGATTTAAATATCCCCCTCCTCCCACCAGGTGGGCTGCCACATCTCAGGCAAAGAAGACGTCTCCCTGCTGAGGGACCCACGCATGGAGGAGGACGAGGCGCCTAACGATGTCATCCTGCGCATCTCCCTCCTGGCCCTCACCTGCACTGCCACGCTCACAGCCACTCGGCCCAGCATGGCACGCCTGGCGCATGACCTGGAGGGTATCCGGGGGGAGGTGGGGGGGGAGGAGGTGAACCGTGCAGCAGTGAGGGTGGATGAGGTGGTGGGGCAGAGCGAAGGGAGCAAGGGGCAGATGAGGACGCTGGATGAGGAGCTGAGGATTGTTAACGAGTCGCTGGATGCTCATGCTCATGCTGATGCTGATGCAACTGAGCTGAGCTATGAGGGAGACAGGTTGCTATCGTGAAATGGTTGTCGTCAGATGGTGGCTGGCAGCAGATATGGGGTTGTTCTGGCAGCAGACTTGCTGCTGTGAGTGAGATTATGATGGCATGGCAAGACGTTTGTGAGAAGCGGTCTCGTGGATCAGCGTCCTGTCCAGAACTAGCCATATGTTTAGATTTGAAGCCCCTCCTCTCGGGACGCCTGTCTATAGAAATGCACCCCTATATTGTTCCAATATGGTAAGGAAGGACCAAATCGTTACATATACAAATTGAATGTAACACACACAACTTGATCTGTCTGACCCCACCCCACGATTCATGCAAACCAGCTGCTCCAACCGAAGGAGAGTCTAGGGGGGGACACTGTAGACTAGCCCAAGAGGGCAACATGAGGAAAGGACTGTACAATGTGCTTTTTATGTACCGGTATGTGTAAAAAAGAAGCCATGCAGCATGGGTCGGTGGGTCTAATTGGAGACCATGGTTTCTGTCTCCTGCACGAATCCATCGCCCGTCCACTCCTTGTCGGACGCGAGGCCTCTCTTGGCTGCGTTGCGATGCTCCACTGCCTCCCTCTGCCTCCGCACCAGGTCCGTGTGAGTCGTGAAGTACTGCAGTGAGTGCCTGAGGAACGAATCCAACACATGGGGGTGCGGGTTGGAGCGGGGAAAGGTTTAAGGCGCCTCAAAGCCCTGTACCGCTAGAAGGTCAGTGTGTGGTGAAGTAGTGCTCTGAGTGGCTGAGGAACGAATTCAACACAGGAGGGTGCGGATGGCGGGAGGCGAGATGCGGGGAGGGGGTGGAAGCGAAGGGAACAAAGAGACAGGATAACGAAGGAAAACAAGAGCAGGTGAAGACGACGGAAGAGAGCAATGCTGGTGAGAGAAGATATTAAAAGCGGTGGCTTCACTTAGATTTCATGTGGCTATGCGCCCATGTGCCGCACCTCGGTCGCACCCTTTAAAGCCACTGATGAACGCAAAGCCGTGGTGCTTCATGGAGCATTGGTTAGGTGACATTATGTTGATAGATACGTGGCTGCAGCTGCGTGTTAAACACCTGCGAGATGCCATTGTTGAGTGCTCATACCCTTTGAAGTCGCTGATGGAAGTGAAGCCATGCTGCTCCATGAACCCCTGCAGTCCCCCACAGAGCGACTTGACGAGGCCATAGCCGTGCAGCATCACCCCCGTGCACACCTACCATGCCAGTGGGGGTGCGGGGGGCATGGAGATGTGTGGGACGGGGGCCATGCATGACGAGGCATGCATGCAGGGGCAAGCACGAAGGGGCAAGCACGAAGGGGCAAGCACGAAGGGGCAAGCACGAAGGGGCAAGCATGAAGGGGCAAGCATGAAGGCAAAGAGAAAGTTTACGAGCCACGGCCTTACAGCTCATTCCTGTGCACATAGGTCCCCAAGCGTGCACAACGTGCACATAGGTCATTGTTGTTGACATCCACCAGTGCCAGCCCCGAATGTGGTCTGTTCTATGTCACCTGCACCGTGTCCCACCCACCTGCACCGTGCGCCACCCACCTGCACCGTATCAGCTCCCAGCAGGATGAACTCAGCGGCGTTCTCCCCCGTTTCCACCCCACCAATGCCCGACAGCGACTTGCCCTGCCCGGGGAACCTCTCCGCCTGCATCCTCGCGATCTTCATCACATGCGCCAGGGCTATGGGGCGCACCGCCTTGCTGGAGTACCCGCCTGGTGTTGTGTAGCTGGGGGGTTGGCAAAGGGAGGGGCGGAAAGAGAGAGCAAGAGGGAAAGAGAGAGTGAGGCAGAACAATCGCCTCTCCGCCTCCATCCTCTCATCTCCATCGCATGTGCCAGGGCGACGGGGCGCACCGCTCTAGTCGGTGCGGACATCCATGCGATGGAAGGAGAGAGAGGCGCGCGATGAACTCCTGCCTGCGGTGGAAATCAGCACCCCTGATAAGCAGCGTCCGTGCAGGATTCCAAACGCATATCCAACGTCACCCACTCGTAGAAAGTAGATTTTTGAGACGTCTCAAAAATCTACTTTCTACACATGATTTGTGAGATTTTTTCTACTTTCTACCAGCAGGATCCCAAACGCATATCCAATGTCACCCACTCACCCCTCAACGCAGGGCTCTGGTCGGAGAGTCTTAAGGTTGACTTCCATCACACTCGTGATGGTGTTGATGGCGCTCACCCCCTCACTGCTATCCCTCACCCTCCACTCACTCCCACCCTTTCCACCCACTCACCCTTCCACACAGGGCTCTGGTCGCAGCGTCTTTAGGTTGACCTCCATGACGCTCGTGATGGTGTTGATGGCGCTCACCCCCTCACACCCCGCCTCCAGTGCCACTCGCGCTGGCTGCACACAGCAAGTTGGGGGATTGGGGGGGGTGGGGGGAAGGGGGAGGGGGGAAAGGGGAGAGATGAATAGTATGACATAAATGAGCTGAGGTGCAAAATACATTGATGGCGCTCACTCCCTCGCACCCAGCCTCCAGTGCCACTCGTGCTGGCTGCACACAGAGATGGGAGAGGGGAGCGGGAAGCGAGCAAGAGACAGATAAACGGGCACGCGTGAGTTGGTGATGGCCCTCATGGCCTCACTGCACGCGTCTCATGCCACCCTTGTAAATCCACCCCTTTCCTTGGCAATCCCACCTCATCATACCTGCATGATGTGGGTGCTGTGGGAATTCATATTGGCCCACACGCGGATGGATGGATGGATGGATGAGAACTCAGTAATTTACACGCAAAATGCCCTCACTGCACGCGTCTCATGCAAAATGCCTGGATGATGTGGGTGACGTTAGGTTTTGATGCGTCTGAAAGCACCCACCTGCGTGATGTCGGTGATGTTGGGCGTCATCTTGGCCCACACGGGAATGGATGAGGCGGCGTTGATCCACCCGCACACCTCGTGCAGCAGCTCGCAGTCCTGCCCCATCGCCATGCCCATGCGCCGCTCCGGCATGCCATGGGGGCACGAGAAGTTGATCTCAAACGCGTCCTGCGAGGGAGGGCATGGGGAAGTTGGATAGATCTGGCTTTTCACTCGCCTCAAACGGCACGAAAAGTTGATCTCAGACGCCTCCTGCACAAGGATAAGGGGAGACTGCACAGAAAGTGCACAGCAGGAATTACTTTTTGACCTCTGTCTGTTAGGTTCCTGACTTCAATGACACTGCTCAACTGCACCAGATTTTCATGCATACTTGCATGTTGGCTTGAGTCATTCATTTCTAATCCATCACCCAATGCCTGTTGTGACTCAACTCCTCTGCCACACAAGTTACAGTCCGGTTCAGTTTGGTTCAGTTCACTCCACTCCACTCCAGTCCAGTTCAGTGCATTCCAGTCCAGTTCCTCCAGTCCACGTCAGCACTCACCACGCCAACCTCCTCGCAGCGGCCAATGATCTCCTCCCACGCGTCCTTGTTGAACTCCTCCATGATGGACGCAATGAGTACGCGGTGGGGGTACTCCGCATTGAGCTGCTTCATTCCAGTCCATTACAGTCCGGTTCAATCCGGTTCAGTGCAGTTCCGTCCAGTACAGTGCAATTCAGTGCAATCCGGTCACAGAAAGTCCAGTTCTTCAACACTCACCACGCCGACCTCCTCGCAGCGCCCAATGATCTCCTCCCACGCGTCCCTGTTAAACTCCTCCATGATGGATGCGATGAGCACGCGGTGGGGGTACTCCGCCTTGAGCTGCTTGAGCTCCGCCAGCATGACCTCGAACGGCCGGTCGCTGATCAGCTCGATGTTCTGCCACCCTATCACGTCGCGCGAGTGCGGCGCGCGCAGCTTGGCATAACGTGGCGTCACGTTGACTACCTTGGAGGAGTCCAGAGAGAGCTGAAGGGGGAGTGGGGGGAAGAGGGGCGCCAGGGGGGAGGGCGGCGAAAGGAGGGGGACAGGGGAGGAAACGGGGAAAGGGGGATGTGGGGAGCGGCAGCAGGTGAGGGGTACTCCGCCTTGAGCTGCTTGAGCTCCGCCAGCATCACTTCGAACGGCCGGTCGCTGATCAGCTCGATGTTCTGCCACCCTATCACGTCGCGCGAGGCAGGCGCGCGCAGCTTCGCGTAGCGCGGCGTGACGTTGACCACCTTGGATGAATCCAGGGAGAGCTGCGCAACGGGAGGAGGGGGAGGGGGAAAGGGGTAAGGAGGGATGGAGGGAATGGGGAAAACGGGGGAAACGGAGATAAATGAGGACATGTGAACATGGGGACGAGGGGACGAGGAGACATGGGGATACGGGGAACCGCGCAGAGAGAGAGCGGGAAGAAACGGCTCCCAGCTTGACGTGAGGTGAGGCGACGTTGAGGACCGATGCGTGGTGGCGGACGCGTGAATTTGAAGTCGCCTACAAAAGCGTGAGGAACAAGCGGTGATAATAGTACGTCGGTACTATAGGTCCGCGTTAAGCGAGAATACGGACTGAGGAGATGACTAGAAAGTAAAGGTGGAATTGGGAAACGGAAAGGGAAACATAAAGATGTGACGGGCAACACTGGACTCGAGGAGACAAATTCTGGAAAAATCATCCACAGAAACGCTTCTTTCTTTGTCGTTTCCTCTTTTCAGTTCTTCCTCTCTCTATCATTTTGCAGAAGCGAGGCCATCGCGGCTCAAAACTCACCGTTTTGCAGATAACGCCACCCCAGCCCTCGTCGAAGGCTTTCTTCATGACCACGTAGTTCGTCCCGGGCGGGCCCGACGCGATGACGAAGGGGTTGGGCAGGCGCAGCCCGTTCACCTCCACGCTCAGGTCCGGCCCCTCCTGCACGCGCCCCTCCACCAGCTTCGCCGCGCGCGACGCTGGCGCGCCGTTGCCCGTCGACGCGACGGTGGGGTTGATTCGCCCGCGAGAGCGGGAGAGGGAGAGAGGAGCGGTTTTGATTTTCAAGGGTGGAGAGAGGCTGTTAGCGGAGCTGAATGACATGGCTGGTTTCGCGCTGGTGAGAGGACTCCAGGTGGGGTTTGATGTCGCCATTGCTGTCGACATGTTATGAGAATTAGAA